ATGGGGAAGCATGGCCCGGGGGTGGGGGAGCGGGGCCCAGGGAAGGAGGAGCAGGGCCCGGGGATGCGGGCGGTGCCCCCGGGCTTGGTCGCAGCCCTGAGGCCGCAGGTCAGAGCAGCATCTGGTTTCTGTAGCAGCGAGGGAAGAGTCGCTGCCGTTGGCTTCCCCTGGGCCACGTTTGCAGAGCTGTCCTTGCGGGGGTTTAGCCTCCGTGGGTTTTGCTTCCACCCCAGCCAGTTCAGCTCTGCCCTGATGTTTCTCTTTAGTCTGCGACCATCCCGCTCTTCATGAGGAACAAGGACGTTGCTGCAGAAGCAGTGAGTGCTTTTCTGGCTCGAGTTCTTGGCTTTTCTTGCTTTGCCCCAGGAGCTGAGGGAGGGCTGCAAATCTTTCCCTTCTCACAGGTAACAGGCAGTGGCAAAACCTTAGCATTTGTCATTCCCATACTGGAAATTCTTCTCAGACGGGAAGAAAAGTTAAAGAAAATGCAGGTAAGGGGAAGTTGGTCAGTTCTGAGGGTGTTTTTAAGATGTCTCAGTGAGACTTGACAGTTTCATGAAAAGTGCCAAGAAGGAGAATTGTGTGCACACAAAGTGCCTGTGTGCTAAGCTCTTTGGTGTAGCAACAACAAACTGTTCACATCTTGAAAATAGATCTTGGGGGGCTTTCTTTGCATGTAGATACAGTTTTTATTTGACATGGTTAGAACAGGTTGCTGAGCTCTTAGAAAAATGATGAAAAGTTATAAAAGAATCAAATATGTTGGCATTGCTGCAAACAAGAGCCTTTGGATGCCTTTTAGCATCCATTGACTTGGAATAAATCTTAGCAGACAGGGAACTTGCACTGTTATTTGCTAATAAATATCATAATTAGATACTGCTCTTAGAGCAGAGGTGTTTTGCACACTGCTGTAGTATCTCTTGGTGAGCTTTTTGTCTTATTTTGTGTATTTTATTCTATTTCCATGGGAATTATTTCTCTGAAACTAGGCTCATGGCTCATCTTCACTTAGCTTGCAAGGGAGAGTTTTGCCCAAATCTTTTTTCTAGGCTGCTGCTTCCCATCCATTCCTGTTGTTTTTCCTGTGCAGGTTGGGGCTATAATTATCACACCAACAAGGGAATTAGCCATTCAAATTGAGGAGGTGCTGTCCCATTTCACAAAACACTTCCCCAGGTTTAGGTGAGTGAACTTCAGGCTTGTCACAACCATAGTTCCTTTTTCTTTGACCTTGTGTCACTCAAAAGCTACCAGAACTGAAAGGTGACCCAAACCTTCCTGTTTTATTGGTTCAGTCAGATTCTTTTAATCGGCGGCCGGAATCCCATGGAAGATGTTGAAAAGTTCAAGGAACAGGGGTGAGTTGATGGTCAGTAATTGCTACCAGGGCCTCACAGCTGGGGTTTCCTGCCCATGCTTGGGGCTTTCAGATCAGGTGTGGTGGTCCTGCAGGTGCTCAGGTGTGGTGGTCCTGCAGGAGCAGGTGAGGATGCACACTGAGGGAACTGGTGGTGCTTTTCCTGGAGTGGGATGCAATGAGGCACTAAGGAAGGACTGTGTGTGAAATCAGTGCCATCCATGTGCTGTGTGGGTGGAGAATGTTTGGCAGCTCCCCCAGAGTCCTCACCTTGGAGTGTCTTGTTCACCAACAGTGGGAACATCATCGTAGCCACGCCGGGCCGCCTGGAGGACCTGTTCAGGAGAAAAGCAGATGGGCTGGATCTGGCAGCCTGTGTGAAATCCCTTGATGTGCTGGTGTTGGATGAAGCAGACAGACTTCTAGACATGGGCTTTGAAGCAAGGTATTTAAATACTGAATTCTAGTAATTCTTGTGAAGTTTTAAATGGTTTCATGTATGATTGAGGAGAATGAGCGTGGCTTGTGATGACATCTGAAGTTAAGTTTGATCTGTTTTGTTCTTTTACCTCTCTTTGCTCTGTAGATAAAGCAATTGCTAAGAGGGGAAGAGAATCAGGAAAGGTGGATCCTTGGTGAACACAGAGCTTGAAATTTATTTTTTAAGATCTGTATGAGCACATAGAATCATGGAATGGTTTGGGCTGGAAGAGACCTTAGAGATCATCTAGTTCCAACCCCTCTGCATGGGCAGGGACACCTCCCACCAGATGAGGTTGCTCAGAGCTCTGTTAACACTTGATTAAATATCATTTACATACTGGAATGGCTTAAAACACTTCAACAAATAAGCCTTGATGTCCCTTTTCTCTTAAAGTCGGTTACCTCAAGGGAAGGTGCTGCACACTTGGTACCTGTAGGAAGAGCTACTTGGTTTATAAACTCTTCCAACACTTGAGCTTCTTCCTGAGGGAAGCCTTGGGACAATGAGTGTGTCACCTGTGCTTCCTTGCAGTTTAAACACCATCCTGGACTTTTTGCCCAAGCAGAGGAGGACAGGGCTGTTTTCAGCAACTCAGACCCAGGAGGTGGAGAACCTGGTGAGGGCAGGTCTGAGGAACCCCGTCCGCATCTCGGTGAAGGAGAAGGGAGTGGCTGCCAGCAACACCCAGAAGACACCAACACGCCTGGAGAACTACTACATGGTGTGAACCTCTGTGCTTCTGAGGGTACATGCCCTCACCTTTTCCCTGGTTCCAGCAGGAAGTTTTTAAATCTTGGCCAGTTAGGATCACATTCATAGAGGAACCAGAAGTCTTCACAGACAGAGCTCTTGCAGATTCTTCAAAGAGCAGTAAATTAGAGGTTAAATCTGCAACTGTGTCATTTCCTGCTCTGTGAGGGTTTGTTGTTTTTTTGCAATTTCAGAGAAGTGGCTGTGAGGGATCCTTGGGATTCTGCTTCAGGAGGGGGATTGTGGCTGGGGAGGGGAAGGCTGGGAGCTAAAGTGTTTGTTTTTATTTAAACAAGAGTAATATTATGTAAAGGAGTAATATTCTACATGATGGAATATTGGAAATTCCACTTCTGTGGAGCAAATAATGAATATTAGGGAATGATGTCCATAGGCATTTATCAGCTCTCAGGGAATGGAGGGAACTGGCAGATCACTTGGTACCAAGGCCTATTTCTTACTTGTTTGTTTTGTTTTTTTTCCTTTTGCATAGTACAGATCTGCAGAGCAGATGAAAAATTTAATCAGTTGGTGCATTTTCTTCGACAGCACAAACAGGAAAAGCATCTTGTCTTTTTCAGGTAATGGTTTGTGTTTCATGGTGAACAATCTGGTGCTTTGTGACTGCAGGTTCAGCACAGGTGCCTTGTGTCGCCAAGGACACCACTGGGGTAACACTGAATCATTTCAGTAGCTGTCATGGGGCTTAAAAAGAAACTGATCATTGCTTCATGTCAGGTTTGCCTTGAATTTTATTGAGTGAAACATTTTATATGGATTTTTAAAGTATGGCATTATAGATGATCCTATGTTAGTTATAAAGATAGACCTATGTTAGATAAAAACAGGCAATAGTGCCTGTTTCTGAAAGGTATCAGAACACCCCAGCTTGACTGAATCAGGTTAAAAATGCAGCATCATCTTTTGCTTTTATATCTATCTTAATCACAACAGCACATGTGCCTGTGTGGAATATTATGGGAAGGCTTTGGAATCGTTAATTCAACAAGTGAAAATCATGAGCATTCATGGGAAAATGAAACGCAAGCGGAACAAGATTTTTACGGCTTTTCGGAAGCTCCCGGGGTAAGAACAAACCAACAGGCTGATCCAGCCAGAGCCAGAAGCAGTGAGTGGTGTGTCATTTTGTCTTTGCAGGATGCTGAGAGGCTTTCACCCCTTTTAGCTTTCATTTTTTTATTGCATAGGACCTGCCTTCTGGCATTTTATGTTATAGGAGAAATAATGACCAGCAGACTGGGAGAAGCGTGTTAGGGCCTGTATGAAAACACCTGTGGTTCAGCTCTGGTGGGTGTAATGTTGATTTTAGAACTTGTAATGGGAATTGACTCTTTTCTTTGTGATTTCATAGAGTCACAGAATGGTTTGGGTTGGAAGGGACCTTAAAGATCATCTAGAGCTAACCCCCCTGGATGGGCAGGGATACCTCCCACCAGACCAGGTTGCTCCAAGCCCCATCCAACCTGCCCTTCAACACTTCCAGGGATGAGGCATCCACAGCTTCCCTGGGCAACTTGTTCCAGGGTCTCACCACCATCACAGTGGAGAATTTTTTGCTGCAAATGTAAATAATTCCTCTTCATAAAATTACACAGAATTTTAGTTGGTGAAATCTGCAACTGCCTTAAAATAGTATGTCTCTTTTCAAAAAACAAAATGTTATAAAATGTTGTTTTTTTCCTAGTTTTCCCAATGTAGGTGCAGAATTCACAGCTGGGTGGGGAGGCTGGCTCTTTTCAAATGGCACTTTAATGACAATGTGCCTTTTCTTCTTCCTAGTGGCATTTTAGTTTGCACTGACGTGATGGCCCGTGGCATAGACATTCCAGAAGTGCACTGGGTTTTACAGTATGACCCACCCAGCAGTGCAAGGTACAGCTTCAGATCTGAAAAACCTTTACTTGTGATCATGCTACTGTACTGCTCAGATATAAACTGGGAACACACAGCTGTGGCAAAACACACTTAATTGCTGCCTGGAAACTGGTCTGAATGACCACACGAAACAGTGGGTGAACAAGGAATCCAGAACGTGGCAATTTTGGCTGTAAATGATGTGAACTGAAATGACTATGTGTTGCTTGTGCAGAGGCCCAAGAGGTGTTTGCCACCTCTGTGTGGAGGGGCTCTCTGGTGTAGGCTTGGTATGAGAGTATCAAAGGTGTAACAAGAAGTGAGACACTAGTGAGCATGAAACATGAGAGCAGGGACAGAGCTGCTCAAGGAATGGTACATTTCAGATCACAGGAAAGGTGCTTTGCCCTGTATTTTAGCTTCCATTGTCATCCTGCTCCCAACAGCTTGAACTTCACCCCCAGACACATGCCCCTTGCTTTAGCACACGGTCCCAACAGCTGAGGAGCTGCTGCAGCTCATGTGCTGCATTTGGCTGCTTCCTGTAGGTTTAGTTCAGAAGTATGCAGCACTTCACATTCTCCATTCCACAAAATTTGCCTTTTTGCTGTGTTAATTCTGCAAAATGAGCCTGAGCAGCTCCAGCTGAGCTGATCTCTCCTGCTGTTCCAGTGCCTTTGTGCACCGGTGCGGGCGCACAGCGCGGATCGGCCGGGTGGGCAGCGCCCTTGTCTTCCTGCTTCCCATGGAAGAATCCTACATTAACTTTCTCTCCATCAACCAAAAGGTGAGTAGACTTTCATTCTACCCCACAGCAGGAAGGGGCAAGGGGACAGGCTTTTTGTGACAGGAGCCTTGAAATCAGAATTTGTTGGGACCTAAGATCACGTGCCGAGATGTTTGAGCAGGGATGCACAATTAAAAAAGCCACAGGGGCTGCTTATTAATCACTAGATGTGACACTTGAACTCAGCTGCTCCCAGTGTTACCTGCTGGCTTTGTAGTAACAATAAGGGATGCACTGAGTAAGGAAAGGCTTTTCATTTCTGAGGCTGAGCAATTCCAGAAAGGCAGCAGTGGGTTACACTCCTTCCCCACCCTCTATCATCAGTTTCTAGGCTGCACCCTCCGTGTTCTTCATTTTTAACTCAAGTAATTTCCTGTGCCTGGTCCTGCATTTGTAGGATTCATTGTATGAATTCTCTAGAGGTCTGCTGAGGAGGACACACCTTGATTAGGCATGATGTGATGTTGCCTCTCTGGAGCTCCAGTCTGTGAGCTCTTCTAGGACAGGAAAACCATGTGTGGGGCTGAATGGTGGAGTGTTGAGATGACCAGGTAGAAGAGGGAAAGGGGCTCCAAGCTCCCTCAAGATGCTCTGGGGAAGAAGTGTGTGTTGGAAGTTTCACAGTGCATTTTAAATCATTCATCTGAACTTTTCCCTTGGTTTTCTCTTTCTTTTCTGCTTTTCAGTGTCCCATGCAGGAAATGAAACCCCAGCCCAACGTGGTAGATCTCCTCCCAAAGCTGCAGTCCATGGCCCTGGCTGACAGGGCAGTGTTTGAAAAAGGGATGAAGGCATTTGTGTCCTATGTCCAGGCTTATGCCAAGCACGAATGTAACCTGATCTTCAGAATTAAAGGTAGTTCCCAGCAGGAGCTGGTATCTTTTACTCTTCTTCTCAGAAAGTATTTGGTTTGACAAAAAACAGTGTTACTACTCACAAGGTTCAGCTACTGATTCCTGACCTCAGTTACTTTCTGTGCCATTAGTTTCTGGCCAAACTATTTTTTCTAGCAATGTTTCTCATAATTTTCAAGTGAAATTGTTTAATTAGCAAGTTTGACCAAAACTTGCACAATAAACATAAATAAAAGTGACTTAGTATTGTTACTAGTATTAAGTATATAATGCAAACAAGACAATAAGATGTTTTTTCCTGTGACTTGCTAAGTGAAATTCTATTTTTATCCAGCAGAAAACTGACATTATCATCTTTTATCTCAACAGATCTGGACTTTGCTAGCCTTGCCAAAGGTTTTGCATTGTTAAAAATGCCAAAGATGCCTGAACTAAGAGGAAAATGTTTTCCAGACTTTATTCCAGTCACTGTTAATACAGACTCCATTTCATTTAAGGATAAAAATAGAGAAAAACAGAGACAAAAGCAATTAGAACAGCTAAGAAAAGAGAGACAGGAAAATGGAGGGAAGAAGAATTTCACAAAGAACAAAGCCTGGTCAAAGCAGAAAGCCAAGAGGGAGAAGAAGAAGAAAGTAACAGCTAAAAGGAAGCGTGAAGAGGTAAAAACTGCCTGTTGGGCCAAACCACACGTGGTTACTGCAGGATGGGTACACACTTCCACATGGCAGAGCTGTGGGATGTCAGGTGGATGGAATTGATGACTGTAAATTAACTTTTTAGGACCTTGAAAGACAAGGCTATAGAGTTTTTTAAAGCCAAACACTAAACCAACTTCCTCAGCACTCTGATGGCAGTCAGTAATGCTGCTGCTATAGGCTTTTTTCCTCAGAGCTCCAGCATAATGTTGGAAAGTTGCTGATTTTAAAGTGTTTTTTTTTCCCCACCTTTTATTTTCAATTCTCAAGTTTCTCAGGGTGGTTTCCTAGGTAGAAATTGAGTATTATTTCCTGCTTGGAATCTCCTGGCAAAATATGAGCTGTAAACTTCTGTAAAGAATGAAAAACTTTTGGTATTGTGTTTAATGTGTTGTTTTTCAAACTGCCAACAGGGCTCTGATATTGAAGATGAAGATATGGAAGAGCTGCTGAATGACACAAGACTCTTGAAAAGATTAAAAAAAGGAAAAATTAGTGAAGAAGAGTTTGAGAAGAGATTAACAGGCAGCCAGAGTAAACTCAAAACAGAAACTGTTGCTGACTTAGAAGGTTGACAGTTAATTTTGACCACACTTTTATATTAAAACACTGCCTATTTCAATAAAACTGTATTTTTATAACAAAGCAATGGTGCAGAGAACAGAATTGAACTCATTTCTTCATGAAGAGACTCCAAGTACTCCACCCATCTGTAAAATAATTTATTTTAGGTCTTTAGAAGCCTTGGTGAATTTTGGAATTTTTTTAAATAGTGGTCCATCCACATGCAAAGTTTTGCTTTAAAAACTCAAGAAGGCTGATGATTAAATGAATCCTTTTCATGTCATCTCCTTCCCACCACCCAAGTTCTTACAGCTGTGACAGTCACTGGAGAGGCTGATGCCTCCTGCACACAGTCCTGTGTTACAGGTAGAGTTTAATCAATTCATCACTGACAGCTGATGGAGTTAACACACCCAAGTCTGTGAACAGCAATGTAATTAGTGAGGGTGATGTGTAGTCAATCCAGGGATGCTCCTCTGTCAGGTTCTGATTTGTTTTCAGAGTGTCTGCTTTGTACTGGAAGGAAATGGAGACTTATTAGTAATGAGTTCTTAGGCAGCTGCAAGTTCTCTTCTCTTTTGGGCAGGAGTGGTGCTGTGGCCCTGAGCAGGGGCTTGTGGTGAAACTGAAGGAAGTAAATTGCTTTAAAATGAGGCACAGGCTGGTACCATCTTGGTCTCAGCTGATTTGATGCACTGTGTAAAGTACAACTTGTAGTTCTGAAGTGTATTGATTTAACTGTTTCTTGCCCTCAGCTGCTCCTGTGCCCCAAAGGAACCACTCTAGGAACTCACTGTTCGTATTTCAACAAATTATGGCTGTTTTGACATGTGGCTGTAACAGGGAGCAACTCCTTATCATGTAAAGTAGCTAGAGCAGAGAGATCCAGATAAAAGAAGACTGACACAGAAATGTAAGTGTGCATCTGTCTTAGCTGGCTAAGAAGTAAATGGAATTTCTCTTACCTTAAACTTGTCTGGGACGTCCTGCTGATTTAGGGGGAAAAGTCTGACAAACTTGAAACTTTCTGCTACCACATAAAATGGCTTATTCTGAGCTTTGGCACACACAGCAATTTGATTAGTGCCAATCTGTGGAGACAGGTGGGAAACAACATGCAAACTCAGTGCTAGTGTGACATTGTAATGTCCAACTAGATAAGATTTTTCAGAAAGCTTTGACTTCTTCAAAGAAACCAAACTTTAGAAGTTTAGAGTGAATCATGTGTTGAACTCACTACCTCTTACCTTGTTAATAATGCCTCCACTTTCAACTACACCTTCAGCACCAACTAACACCAGGTCCACTTTCTCCATAATGTAGCTGTTCAAAGGGGGAAGAAAATCCAAGTCTCAGTGGGTAACATGACAAACAACTTCCTGCACAGGACAGAAATGGTAATTCAAACAGTTTTATTTTTCTGAGCTGGTTTTATCTACCTCTGCAAATCCATGTGCTATTGTACATCCTTGGAGTGAGCTCTCATCTGCTTACCTGGCAGGAATATTAAGTAACTGGGTCTTCTCCAGCCCCACCAGACCTTGGCAACAGTGTAAATGGTGGGAGAAGTTTAAATCTGCCTGGGAATGATACTCAGGTACAGGACATGGATGCCTGTGATGAGGTGCTACCTATACAGGGAAGGGTAACTGGACTGAGATAACCTTGGCCAAATACACAGGATGCTTCTCATCCAACCCCCCTTTCTGTACCTCCCTCCAATCTGTGTTGTTAACTGAAAATGCAGACCTAACAAGAAAAGCACCCACAAGTCATGTGAATAGACTTGATGTGTCAAACAGAACTTGTAGACTTGTCCAGTCACACCACCTTCCCTAGATGGGAGGTGCCCTGGGAAGCAGGTGTGTATCCTCTTGGAGGCAGCCTTGGACACTGTGTACTTAGGCAAGAATTGAGCTTACTAAGCAGTGGTAATTTAATAAATAGCTTAAGAAAGCCCCAAATGATGACACATATGCAAATCAGGAAGAAAGTAGCCTTTTTGCTTAGCACCTCAGTTCATTTTTACAGATATCCCCAGGTTCTACACTCCGGGTCTGACTTCTTTGTTCATTCTAGCACACAAACACCAAGTACTTGCTTTGTAGCAGGTTTATTCTCCTAACCCTGCACCTAAAGGTGTAACTTGTTTAACTCGTTTGGTGACTGTGACAAACTAGGTAATAACCTCTGGGATTTGAACAAGCTTCTAGGAAGCTTCCATCTAACATTGCCAAAATAAAATTGTGATGAAAAATATTAAGATTTAATGATCAGACTTACCCAACTGCAGCATCCAGAATCACAGTCACAGGGATGTTCAGCTTCCTCAAGGCTTTTGCCATTTTTTGCCTGTTAAAAAAAATGCAAACATGTTTGAAGTTTGAAAGGCTTTATTTATTTATTTTTTAAGACAAGGCTAGAACAATATTTTCTGAAAGACTGAAACCCATGACTGCTCATGTTCCCTTGCCTGTAGTTCTGGTTTATGATGTGCTCTCCAAGTTGTGTAGAAATTGAAACAAACATTACAACAAACCCAACAAAAGTGACTGGAAGCTTGCAAACCTTTGAGGAAAATACTAGGTAACTTAGTGGAATATTTAGTAATGAAAATTGCTTGCCAATAATTTTTCACTTGTCCAGAATAATGTGATATAACTGAGGATTAACATTTAAAATCCTGCAAACAAGCCTGGCAGCTTTTTTTCAGGTATAACCCATTTGATGTGACTTGAAACTTACCCCATTAACCAAGATAAAACAGAAGTTAACAAGTACTTGCCCAGCTTGATCTGGCTGTGACTCAGTCACATAAACACTGAATCTCTTCTTGGACTCAACAGCTGCTTCCAACACTCTGAGGACCACCCTTGAGTAGGCATGTGTCAGTATTCGCTGGGAACAGAAGAATAACCAGGCATGACTTTGTGCTGAGCTCTGGGAACCTCCAGGGAAGGGTGTCGTGGCTTTTACTTCATGCAACTGATCATTGGTGTTATAGAATGAGGTGCCTCTTGTCTTCTACAATCACAGGAAAGCTGGACTTGGTGGCCTCCTGTGATGCAGCCAAGGGGGGATGATCTAGAACTTTAAATGGGAATGTGAAGCTGTGACTCCTCAGCACCTCTGAGAAGCAGACCTGAAGTTATGGTTGAACTGCAGGGACACTGAAGGAGGGGGAGAAGAGTTTTAACAAAGTGACGAGTGATGTTGTCTCCATGTACTTGCAGAAGTGACCACGAGGCAACATTACACGTTAATAAACTTTGCTGCCATCCCCTTTTCCTCACTACTGCAAGCAGCAGCAGCAGAGGAGCAGGAGCAGCAGCAGAGAGCCCCGGCCTCGACCTACTTACAGCACCATCTCTGATGAAGGGATGACACAGCTTGGCGATTTTGTTCCTCGAGAGAGAGACTTTCCTGAGGAAGATCTCCCCGCGCTCAATCATGATTTCTTTGCACTTGGAGTAGTCCTGGAAAACACCCCTCTGGCTGCCGTGAGGCGGGCGGACCCCGGGGGGCGGCGGGGCCGGGGAGGGGCCGCCCTTACCGAGTACTCCAGCGAGGTGAGGCTGATGAAGCGCAGGAACAGCTCCCCGCCCGAGCGCACGGCCACCGAGGAGTCCACCCCGGACAGCGTGTCGATGGCGGCCAGCAGGCTGCTCCGCAGGCCCTGGATGGTCTCCCCTGCGGGGCAGCGGAGGTTCAGGCTCAGCGCCTCGGCCCGGGGGGGCCGGCGGGGAAGGGAGCGGCCCCGGCCCGCCCGGCCCGGCCTCACCTCGGTCCCGCCGCAGGAAGCCCAGCAGCGCGCGGATCGCGGCCACGGCCGGGGGCGCGGCGGGGGGGG